TTGTGTAACTGTTGGAGGCATTTGTAGGTGTTTTGCACGAGACCGAAACCAAAGACCTTGAGAACATGACAAATTGAGAGCCGTATCTGGATCTTCCAACTATGGAAGCCATTTGCCAGTTGGCTAGTTGCCTGTTGTTTTTATCGATATGGGCAGATGTTTGTTGCACAGTTACGGAAGATCCAGGTATGAGGTGGTTGGTGATCTTTGGTGATTGTGCATGGGGATTTTTGGTGATTCTTTTCCGGGACCCGTCTCGCAAAACTTGACAAGACTGGAGCCCCTAGTAGCTTCTTGTTATGTACTAGTAGCGTTCTTGCTCCTAGTAGTAAGGCCAGGAGCCCCTAGTAGCGTCCTTGCTCCTAGTAGCGATGCCAGGAGCCCCTAGTAGCTTCTTGGATGTGATGTTGGTTTCTTTTTTTACAACCCTGAGAATCCATAGGGGGCCCGACACCTTCAGGGTCTGACCTTCTCCCTTTTGAGGTCACCTTCTATCCTTCTCAACCTGTTACCCTTTGCAGGTTCGGGCCCGGATTGGCAAAGAAACCGACATCCTAACCCTAGGGATCGAGTCATACCTTCTCAGATGCTACTTGGACCCTCCCACCGACATCACAGTGTCTCCCTCAACCGGTGCTGAGTTCGGTGCTCCGGTGCTTCAATTCCTCTTCGGATCCTCCGACCCCCGGGCCCAGAGACCACCGGCCGCTTCGGGTGCGCTCGGGTGCGCGAGCCTCGCTCGGTCGCTGAAGACCCTCACAGCTCGGTCGAAGGGATCGACGACAGAAACGGCCGAGCCAGCGAACCGGGACGTTTTCAGGTGCGGTCTGACCGGTCCTGAAGAGCCTGAAGCTCAAAACGGACCAACACTGGGCCCGTTTCTGCTGTTTGGAATCAACATGCACAGTCCTATCGGGTCATGTGACATGGTCATGTACAAGGCACTCCGTTCATTGACAGCTTCTTTGATGGATGGGTCACGGGTCACGACCGAGCAGACCCACATGTCCCGGATGGACTCCACTGGTACCTTTTGAGAAGGTGAGAAGGGACCCGACAATGGAGCCTACATCAAGGAGTCAAACACATCACCGTACCTGAGAGGGGATGTTTTATCCCATCCGGGTTTCCCGGATTTGCTCCAACTTCGAAAGAGAAGGTGGGACTGGGGTGGGTGCCATGGGGTCTACCCTTCTGAGGAGGTTTGGACAGTATTACATTTACATGTTTAAAATGGGTTTGGCATGTATCCAGGTTCCTTTGCGCCTCAAATTCTCCAGGCGCTTAAAGACTCCATTGACGCGAAGGCGGGAGGAGTAAACGAACGGACGAGTCGTATACGAGGAGTTGTTTTTGGGTTCCCTTTTGGTACCCAACAGGTGGTGGTTTCGGCTGGCCGCGTCGTCGTCAAGTCGACTTTCAGTGGGTTTGAGGTACTAGTACTCCTTTTGGGGTCTGAACAACATGACTGGATGGTGGTTTCAGATTTTTAACATTCACTTGGGATGATCGATTGCACTGACTCATATGTTTCACGATATGATTGAAAGCACCAACCAGATGAAACATGAACATGTCCGACTGCAGACTACTTATATAGATGATTTCATCGCCAAACTTGGACTTATCACATGGGGGTAGGGGCCATTGTCCACTTCCCTGATGATTCCGGGGTGTAGTTTCAAATCCCAGACACTCCATGTATGGGGTGGTTAGAGGGGTCCATATAGCATATATGACAGACGCGGAGTGACTGTGAATTGACATGGCAGTGTTTGTTTGGCATCTCAATGAACCGCCTCGGCTGAATTCTCGGATGAGTCTTCTTCCCAGAGCCGGGATCCGGAGCTCCGCAGGAGAGAGGGACGGAGCTGTACAAGCTTGCTCCTTAGTCAGGGGGAAGTGGATAGTAGGGTGAGGAAAAGGACATGAAGTGCCCCAAAAGGAACCAGACTAGTCCAGCATAGTGTTGAGTTGGTCCTAAAAATGTGGTTTGTCGATGATCTAACTAACGCAGGTGACAACCTCAATGCTTGCCAGAATCCATGGCCCGACGTCGCACGTCGGTGACACTGGTGATTGATGCACTGACTCCACATATACCGCGGCCTGGGGTTGAGAATCACCAGAATGGCCCAGAGTCACATAGAATTCCCCAAAACAATAGAAACGAAACGGACATATCGAGAAGAGTCATTTTGCCCAGCCCCCTTTGGCACGTCATTCGCCAGTTTGTGAACTATTGCACTGAGCTATGTGTACCCCGGAAGCATCCAAGTATTCAGTGACTACATGGAAGGGCCAGGTGTGGGAGTTCTTTCAGGAAAGTAAGGTAGACTGCTCCGTGTATTGGAACTTATACTTATGATTACTTATGATTGTCAAGCTTTTACATTACTCATTCTTAGCGTGTAAGCCGTGTAAGTTGGTTTTCTCACTTGTGCGGAAGTTGCGTGCCACATAATCAGAGGCTTCTATCATGTGATATATATACCTAGAAGATCCTTTCGGCAGAAATTCTTGCCTTTTTCGGGAAGAGCGGCTCTCCCCGTCCTGGGGCGGAAACCAACTTTTTGCCGCGGAAATGTTTTTGTTGCCGCAAATTTTCCCTTTCAGGAATCTAGTGAGAGACTACATATATTCTATATAGAACAGTTGAATCCTTTTGGTGGTTTGCATGTGCATTGGGCATTTCTGCCTGGAATGGTCACCTCAATGATACAAAAAGATGGCGGCGCCTAAGTTTCCACCTCCACCTGCAAATCTGGCTACCATGTCTTTGTTTTTGAAGGTTTCTTGTGCGGAATGAGCACACGAGCAGTAAAACCAGTCCAAAGTTGAAAACACCTGGCGCGAAAATGCCCGGGAAAGAGGCGGAAATACCCGGGAAAGAGGCGGAAATACCCGGGAAAACGGCGGAAATACCCGGGAAAACGGCGGAAATTTCCTGGCAGAAGGCGGGATTCAAGAACAGTGCCTTTGAAGGGCTTGAACATATATCGCAGCCTCTTTGTGAATGTCATGAATGTAGAAGTAGGATGTCAGATCTTGAGATGTGAAACTATGGCCTTGCAGAACGATATGTGGTCTGCAATCATGGAAGAGACAACCTGGTCGGTGTTAGGCAGTGGTGATGGTTTTTGAATTGCTATGTCGGATTTTACTCGAGGCAAAAATTCCCCGCTGGCCGCGGAAATTCCTACCTGGCGCGGATTTACCTTAAATCCGCGAATCCTCCCAGGCAAATCGGGCTGAGGCAGAAATTTTTGCCCCAGGTGCTTTTAGGTATATATAGCTCCGCTGGTCTTGACCCGTGTTACCACAACGGACCGGACCTGGAAGACCCGGGAGTGGTCTGTGACGGACCGGACCGCACCTGGGATCGAAGGATCCCGTTCCGGGCGGAAGATCTGACTGTTGGGCTTCTGATGTGGCTCATCTATAGTGATGATTTAGTGATGGTTCCCGAACTGGTGTTCACATGTGTTCAATCCTCGAACATCCCCGAACCTGGGATATTCTGGAAACCATGAAGGGTACTTAGGCGAATCCAACGGCTTGGGGAAATGGGGAATAGACAGCGGAACTCTTCTGCGAAGGACCGAACCCCTGGCCATGAACTTGCGTGCTAAGGCAGCAGAAATTTGCAGAAGCCCGGGCAGCATGGCAGGAGGTCCTCTCCAATTGCCTTCCCTCCCGGGCGATGTGGTCGCTTTCGTGGTTTCGGGGCAAAGAGCTTTGGCAGAACTAAGCCCTATAGCTTTCAAGGACCATTTAAAGATTGGTTGAGCTGTTCTTGTAGCGTGACATTCTGAGCAAAACAGTTGTTCAGTAAAAACAATTGTTGATACCAGAAAGCCAACTGCATTCATCTCTTTGGGGGCAACAACTGTTGTTTTGACCATTTGACCGATGTCCCTTCTTCTGTGGTGGGAGTTTAACATTTAGTATGATTTCTACATGTATCTGGAGAACCCCGCCTAAACCTCTAGATCCATTGCATAGGGCTGCGCTTCAGCATCAGGGCGCTGCATCAGGTTTCGGGATTTCGTTTCATGGAGACGCATCGAATTGTTTGGCATTGAAGCCGATTGCGCCCAGTTCAGGTGTTTGGTAGGTTCGGTCCTTCTCCGTCCTCCCCGACCGGATCTTCCCACCGGATGGATCCGTGTGTTGTTTGGTGTTTCTTTTTCTTAACCCGGACCATCCATTGTATGGAATAGATTACATGGATGAGGGAAAAAATCATTAGGGCAACATGTATTTAACTATTCCACTTACTTACCACTTTACTTACCTGCATTGGTTATTTTCATTGGGTGAATGCATATATATATATATATTTGTCTATTCTCTTTCCATGGATACTTTGGGTTTGCAAAAGATCTCATCCGCCGGCTTATCCAACTTCATCGTCTCCGCGATTTCGGGCTCCACGATTTCGCGGCAGGGGGTTAAAGAAGACCGGCTGCGGTGTTCGGTTGGAAAGGGGACTGTTGATTGCAGGATTAATTCAGGATTAACTAGATACATTGATTTGTGAGAGGCAGAGTGGCTGCTAGTGCATTCATGCGGATTCGTGTGATCCATTCTGTTCGGCAAAGTCATCCGGCAATTTCTCCTGAGATCAGGCACTCCTGACACTGCAGAGCTTTGGAAGAAATCTTTTTACCCAGACAGCGATTTCAGACAACGCCAGCGAACGACCTGCATGGAGGTCGAACGAAGAAACAGAAAGGTTGGGTGTTATTCACATCATGGAGCTCGATGGATAAGATGTTCTTCTCCATCACTTTGATAGGGACATTCACTCTAGAACGGAACAAACATAGGGACCTTCTCTTTCGCATCACCAGACCAAACACAAGACACAGAACCGGCCCAAACCGACCATGAAGGATTCCAAAACACGGCCCAACACAGCCAACGAACGTACTATAATACGTACTGACCAAACCAGCTGTCAGATTGGATCAGGTGAAAATATCGAGGTTCTATGAGATTTTCATATATTGCTCGCTGTAGCATCTTCCATCGCCCCATCGCCATCAAGCCCCATGGCGGAGGAGCGAGTCGCTCGCTTGATGGCTTGTTGCTCCATACGATAGTGAATGTCAAGATGATGAGTGTCATCTTAGTGAACTCCCTTGTAGAGATGATATACTGGTGCCCGATCAAAACACTTTTCAGACTGTTGTATATAGAGGCCTTTGGTATTCAGACCTGTTTCGGTAGCTGCACATCATGAGGGATGCGATCCGAGGGTTCGTGGTGTGTAGCTCAATGGTTACCGAGACCTCCCAAACACCAAAGCCCATTGGGGCTAGGGGATCACCAATTTAACACGGATCCACTGGCACCGAACCTGAGGTACGGTGAGCAGGGAGACTATGGCCCATGGTTGCCCATGGCGCCTGGGTTTGGGCCTAACAAGTAACAAGTGCCTGAAAGAGAAGGTGGCAGTGGATCCCTATAGGGAAATACACACCCAATCTGGGAGGTGAACCATGTTGGCCTTCAACGATTCACTTCAGCTCAACTGCTGGGGGTCTTGCACTGCAGCTACCTATGACCAGTGATGCACCCGGTGGCAACGGGTCGACCGGCGCCTCAGGAGTTGAAGCACTTGCATTTGGCGCTGGAGCGACAGAAGCTCAGCCTGGACGTGTTGCATCGCAGGCGCAGTGGAGCGGCTCGCACCATGACAAGCGCGGACTGGAATCGGCATCCAGTCGTACCGAACCTCAGGTACGGTGATGTGGGAGACACTGTTATGTACCAGGAGGGTCCAATTACCTGCTGAGAAGGTACTTGGATCTTTAGTACCTTCACCCTCCCAAGTGCCTCGGAAAGCGGGTACGACGACTACCTGGTGTTCTTTCTTTAAATGAACGGAGTTTCTTTGGACTGGCGAGGTACCAGCATCCTCGCTCCGTCACCAAGTGACTTATACCAGACCTGGAGGATGCTGAGACTGACATTTACAAACACTTCTATCCCCCGTCAGAATTCCCAGGTGGTTGTTTCGATGATAGAACCTTATAAATGGTATATTTGTGGGAGATTGCCCAGAACCAGTCCAAATTTGATGGACTTCGTGATGTGAGTTCAAAGGCTGCATCCTCTTAACAGCCACTGCATCCTCACCTCCATCCTTTTAGAGTCTCACTTCTCTATGGTGACAGTCCCTCCTATGGCGCCATGGAAGTCCCAAAACTGGATACCTGTCCCAAGCCTTGCCGAAAGGCTATACTCAGGGCTACAAGTTATGTCTGAAAAATGTTAGAAAGAGGCAAGACCCGACCCCTCTCGGGTGATTCCTTGTGTATTGGGGAAGCCCAGACGCGAAGTCTGGACCCTACGTTCAGGGACCGGGGCCACACCCTCTTATGGAGGGGTCTGGACCCGAACCAATCCCTATGGTTTTGAGATGTTTTGAGGAACCAAGGGCTGTTTGGAGTGTATGGGAATGTCCAATTTTCTAGGGCGCAAACAAAATCGGGTGCAGGCAGTCAGCAGTTCGAACCGGGGTGGAACCCGATCTTTCCAAGATTCGGGTCTGCAACTCGTTGCTTCGCAGCACTCAGTTGGGTCTTCCACCAACAGCTTCTTTCCCAGCACCCACCAGGCAAGCAGAGCTGAGCGAGGCGCAAGCTGCGCCAGCTGCGACAGCTGCGAATTCCCTTGGACCCAGACTCCATGACTCCATGCATGGTATTATATGGCCTGACTGATTGTCCATAGTGACCTTTTCCAGCACCCGAAACCTGCCATCCAGACATGTCAATGCAACACTCCACCTCTACCTGGACCCTCCAGTTTGTACCCCAGAAAATGGGACATGACTTGTGACTCGTGACATGACCTTCCCAAATGCTCCCATTCCGCCCCGAATCCTCTGAAAACATGACCCGCCCCGAAATCCTCTGGAAGGGTCGATTCTCACCAATCCCATAATCCATCATGATCCCCATCCCAGACACAAATATGCCGTATGCCATATATACCAGGACCCTTCAAGGGGTGTCCAATGGACTACCCCACACTACCTATAGGCTTCCAGACAGGGCACCCCGACTGGAGGGTACCACCCAAGGGGTGGTTATTAGATGGAAAATCGATCTTCATGGGGGGTATATAAACCTCCCTTTGGGTGGTTCTGGCATGTTCAGTTCATACATTGGGGTGTTTTCAGTGGGTTTCGTGGGGCAAATCGCTTTGGCGCGACCAAAAGGACCGGGCAGAGCGTCGAGAGATTCCACCGTCCGACTGCGGCCAGGAGAATGCCGCGTTGAGAGACTGCGGGGGGCTGAGATGGACGGACCATGGGGAACAAGGACCTGGGCGTTCGGGCCAGGGGTGTCTAACAATAGCTCCTTAGAGGTTAAGGGGATTTAAGAGGTGTCCATGAACGGGCCCTGGTACAAGCCTGAACCCTCCGTCGTAGCAGAAAAAAAGTGACAGAAAAAAAAACTGCACATCATCAAAAAAAGTGTTCATGCCTTGAAAAAGCGTACCACTGGAAAGTCAGATGTAGCTTCATTCCACCTTATGTGGTCTTCAAGTCCATTCCCCTGCCACATGCTGGCACCCATCCCATGCACACACAACACACGCTCACACACTACGAAGCGGCAGCCAGCAACCCCTTTATTTGATCATCAGTATCAACATAAAATGTTTACAGTAAGTAAAATAACAATCCGCCACTTTTTAAAATTGCGCCCGGGTTGCGGGAATTTGCGCCCGGGTTGCGGGAATTTGCGCCCAAGTTGCGGGCATCCTTTTTGGACAAATTGTTATAAAGCACGCCCAGAAGGTTGGAACCAAACCTTTGTGGTTTCATTTGCACATACTACTAGTAGGAGGTCATATAGAATTTCCACCCGGTCCATAGGGCCCCCAAAGGCCCACAAGGGTTGATAAGGACACTGGTCAGGAACCAGTAGGCTTTAGAATTTACATCACCAAAAAGCGCCCATATGTCCTGAAAAATGTACATACCCTCAATTAACGCTCAAACTTCCAATAAGTGCTCCAAACCATGGTTCGCCAGAAATAAGTGCTACAAAGGATGCTTCAGGAGTATGTGTTTTTCCCAAAAGCATCTCCGATGCTTGTGCCGCGGAAGAGCGAGACAAAGCAAGCGTTGTCGTGGACGGAAGATGGGCGTGGACGGGGCTGTGGATGGAACAGGGAGGGGCGCAATACGGGAGGTGCGCGGGCGTGGACGGAGTTGTGGATGGAAGGAAAGGGGCGCGAGACGGTAGGCGCGTGGGTGTGGACGGGGCTAAGGAAGGGAAGGGCGCGAGACGGAAGGTGCATGGGCGACGGGAGGTGCATGGGTGTGGACGGGGCGGTGGAAGGAAGATAGAGGGGAGCGAGACTGGAGGTGCAGGGGGCATGCCAGAACCGCAATGCTTGAAATTTGATGGTTGGAACGAAGCATGGAGGGGGCTGATGCTGCTCCATGCTTCCTGGAACAGTTGTCAGAAGCCATGTTGCAATGGGGTTGGAGACTAGCTGCAGAGATTGAAAACAGCCACTTGATATATATATATATATATGTAATACATCCAACCTCCAACCCGACGAAAAAAGGGAACGTCTTGTTTTCTTCTTACTGCAACGATATTTCTATCTAGGGTCTTTGCCGGTGTAAATTCTTAAGATCGAAGCCCGCAAAGGTTTGTTCGAGAAAAACAAACGACAAGTCCTCTCCTCCTGGGATATCTCCGCCATATCGACGCCCTGATCACGCCATTAACGATACACGCCACCGGAAATCTATGCCAAAAAATAAACACTAGACGACGAATGACCCGAAAGCATTTTACCGCGTGTGATGCACTGTAGCGCTGGCACAGGAGTACACATGTGTGTGCTTTTCCCAAAAGAATCTCCGATGCTTGGGTTCTCGTTTAGTTTAGTCGACAGTGAGGGGGGCAGGGGCAGCTTGATTGAAACTTTAGGCAAACGCCAGAGGCAAGAAGGTCCACTCAGTCTTCAGCTCAAGAAGGCCGGCAGGCCATCCTCGTCTGCTCATCCTACACGTTCGGACTCCATGTCTACACCGAAGTTCAAGGCAGCATCGAAAGCAGGATATGCCAATTTGGCTGATTTGGCACGAACAGCAGTGGCAAAAGTTCCGGCACCACCTGTCCCCAAGGGTGTGGGAGGTCCTGTTGGCAAAGCTAAAGCAAAAGCTTTGGCTACTGGAGCAGACGGCGCATTGAACGTCCGAGGAAGCGAGGTGACAGCGGCCAGCATGGGGCCTTTCTCTCTGGAGATGCTTTGTCAGAAGCGCCATTTCATGCCGTTCCCGGGATTGGCCATAATGATGGCACCCCAGCACGCGCTGAAGAACTTGCCGGCTGCACAGAAACACACGAATGAAGGAGCCCCCCCTCGGACCATGGCAGCTCGCTGTGACCATGGCTCTCGCGAACGCAGGAGCCATTCCTCCAAGATTCATTCGGGCTGAAAGGGATGATTTCTATGAGGAAGTCAACAACTATTCCTTTTTGGATGGTTGTGATCTTTTGGGGATAGACACCAGCGGATCCGAGGAGGACGCTGTAGGGGATTTTGAGGCAAGAGCTTTCCTTGACAAAAATCATGGGCATCTTGGAGAACCAGAATGGAAAGAACCTGAAGCTTCAGGAGAGTCATGGTGAGACTCTGGAATCCATGGATGGCCATCTTTGCAAGATTGCGGAAGGTATCGAGACCCTTGTAAAGCAGAGCAAGGCTGCTGTGCCAACACCTGGTGTTATGGTTCTACCAGTGAGTCAGGGAGCGCCAGGAGCCAAGCCTGGCGGCGCTGTGGGAGTGAAGGCTATGCCTGTCCAGCCTGGACAGAATCTGCCACCTCGGACTGGCCAGACCGTCTCCTCCTCTCAGTAGGCCATTGGCCATGCGTCCTACTCTTCGAACATGACTCTTTTCAATCGGTTGCTCGTTGACTTCCGACTTCCGGAATTGAGCCCCGCTTTCATCTCCCATATGGAGAAGATCCACAAGATTGTTGACCAGAGGGTTCTAGTTTGTCACGGACAAGTCAACTATTTTGGAGAAGAGAACCACATTGGAGCATGGCTTTTGCCAGACGTTGTCGTGACTCGGAACCCACCGATCCTTGTGCCTTTCCTTTCGTTTTCCAACTCAGACCTAGTGCTGAAGAATCGGTTGGTGGAATCAATTCAGAAGCCTGGATGCATATCGCTACGTACGATGCTCGCCTTCGCTCCAGTGATGAAGGAGATGTTTGCGTCAAGGATCTTTGTGGGCGCCCCGATTGTGCGGCTGAAAGCCATCATTTGGACTCTAAACATAATTTAGTCAATGCGTACGAGGCGGTCGTGCACAGGAGGGGCGTCACCCAAAACCCTGCTCCAACAGTGGCGAACCATACGGTTGAATCCATTCCTGAGGTTGAATCGTTCGTGTGGGGACCCTCCAGAGATGCGCCCATCTTGAAAGGGGACATCATGGAAGTTGCGGGTATAATCCCTACCTTGGCGCTGAATGTCACTTTCCCAGCCTGCAGGGCACTGTGCAACATGGACAATGTCAACGATGGGAAAAACATGCGCTTCTTGAGGAACCCGAGCGGACAGGGAACTTCTTGACAGGTTGGAGCTATAGGAGTGCGGTTGGTTGACTCTGAGCTAGCCAACTACATTGAGGTTGAGCTCAACTCTGCGGGAGTGGTTGGAGGCGCCATTCGCACTCCTGTTCCGATTGCGAAATCAGCTGCCTTTATGGCAAATTGCTTTGAAAGTCGCGCGGACATCGGCATCAGCCGCGGCAAAAGATGATCGTACCAGGCGGACTGTGTACCCAAAGCCCGGCTTTTTGGGGTGAGGATCTTTAGTGGAAGCTGTGATTTAGGTCCTCTGCCAACAAGTACCTACATTACGTCTCCTATAATCATATTTGCTATCTATCTTATATAGTCACGTCCTAAACTAAATAAAATCTAAGTTCAGCTAAATCTCATAGCATATTTTGTGGGTTCTTGTTCCCCAGATAGCGAAGCTATGGGGTTCTTACTTCAAATAACAATGACTTGCCCGTGCGCGCAATCGAGACTGGTTGCTGGTGCTGGGTGCCGGTGCCGGCGCTGGTGCTGTGAGCTGGCCGTGCGCGTGCTGGAGACAGGTTGCTGATGCCGGTTCTGGTGCTGGGTGCATGCCGGGTGCCGGTGCTGGTGCTGTGAACTGGCTATGCACATGGTGGAGACAGGTTGCTGGTTCCGGTGCTGGTGCTGGGTGCGAGGTGCCGGCGCTGGTGCTGGTGCTTTGAGCTGGCTGTGCACGTGGTGGAGACAGGGTGCTGGTGCTGGCGAGATGGCGATCAGAGAGATGATCGGCCGATGGAAACAGGAGGCAGAGCACGCCTCGCCGACTCCGAGAACGCTGAAATGCTTTGGCAGCCGCATGCGCCACAGTGGCTGCCGCATGCGCCTTCGGAAGGAAGGAGCACCATGCGCAATGACATGACTTGCGTGTCGACACGAGACCTCACCGCCATGCCGCCATGCGCTGCAATGATGCACCTGATGATTGCACGGAATAATGTCGACTCTTGATTCATAAACCCTTCCATTAAACAAATCATTTTCATATGCGGGGTTTATTAATCAAGAGTCTACACATTAATTGTTCGCGCGACCAAGAATGACACGTACGCGCACCTCGTCCCCGGCACGGCGCTTGTGACAGGACAGTGAAAACGTGCCGCGCGGAGCGATTGGGAACGATGGCGCCGAGTGGATGGGCCGAGCGCACGCCCGAACCTTCTCCAGCAATTTGCACTTCCAGGTTCACAAAGTGGTGCACACACTTCAAGGTTGACAAGTGAGCAGCTCTAAAGACCTTCCTTTGCATGTCTAGTCGAGGTCTTGGCGTATCAAGCCCCGTAAGCAAAACCATGGAGTTTCGTAAGGTTGAGTATAAGCATTTTGGGGGCACAAGGTTGCGGAAAAACGTGTGTGCGCAAGCACCGCAAGCACCTTTTGAAGTTGGATGACCCTAACGCTGTCTTGCTCAAATCTATCCCATCTTCCCTGTCCAGGAGATTGGCCTCCAAGTCAAGTCTGTTGTGGATGAGTAAATCCAAGTCAAATACAGGCCGAGGGATTTGGCATGACACGTTTCCGGCGTTTCCATGGACCAAGAAGTGCAGTTCCTCCAGCTATCTAGTTGTGACACATACATGATACATGGACTTTAACTTCATGTTTCTTTTCCAAGCTCCTTAGTGAGCCTTAGTGCTTAGTAGTGGGTCTCTTCGACTACCAGCACCCAAGGTTTGCGCCCGTAAGCTCCCGCGTAGGGTTCGCGTAAGCCCTCGGCTACTGGAGCCCAAGTGCAGCAGCGCGCTAACCCTCCTCCTTCCTTGCTCCCGTGTTTTCTTTCACTTAATTATGTCTTTGCAGCTTGAAAGGACGCTTTGGAAGCTGAACAGGTGGCATAGCTGCTTTTGAAATAAGCAGCCCGCCCTCCCCTTGTTTGGCGCAAGTGGTACCTGCAGGCCGGCTTGGCCTTGTGTGTCGACCATTGCAAGAAAAAGGGCACAAGGGTGGCCTGTTCACCTCCATCCTCACTACCATCACCGCCACCACATACCACCGCCATCATCACCCCCACCACCATCATCACCACCACCACCACCACCATCGCTGCCGCCACCACCACCACCACCAGCACCATCACCACAATCACCACCACCACCACCAGCACCAGCACCAGCACCAGCACCAGCACCATCACCACCATCATCCTCACCAGCACCAGCACCATCACCACCATGACCTCGCTTTGGAACCCGATAAGCCTAGGTCTCTAGACCGTTTGCTTCTACACTTCTACACTTCTCGACCTTAGACCTTTAGACACACTGTGTGGGGTCTCCTTCCAGGACATGTTTTGTGTAGGGCTTTGCATGGGTTTGCAATGTTTTGCCCCAATGTGTTTTGACTGTGTTGGTTCGCCTAGAATCTTTTTTGGAATTTTGAAATCAGGGCCACAGCCCCGAACGAAGCACTTGACTCGACAAGGCCTAGAGTCCATTGGTGTCCTTTGCGGCCAGGCGGGGCCAGTGCAACGAGGGAATTTTGGCGGCGGTGTTGTTTTTTCTTTTAATCCTTGGTCCTGTTCCTGACTGGCCCAAATCTACCTGGACCCTTCAAGTACCCATAAAAATACAGGTGTATGTCATGCACTTTAGAGGGTCCAGGTACATGGAATCATCAGCAAATTATTGTTTTTAAATTTTGACCTTGTGGGTTTGATTTGTTCGGTCTCACTCACCCAATTTGGACATGGACATTGCATTTTTTTGAGCAGTTTTTTTTAAATAATTCCACGAGTAAGACGTGACATGGATTCCGTTCCAGCACCACGCAGGAGGCAGATGGTAATCAGAAAACACATGGGATCCGGGATAAACATATATATACATATATATATATATACATATTTATATATAACACCCAGGAAGTCCTGGGTGGTGTTGGTTCATACCTTGTTCATCTTCCAAAACCCAAATGAACACTGGTTGGTCAGTACACGTGTGATTTTTGGGTGTTTGCGGTCCACCACTGGAACACAGTCAGGATGCCACGATCAACTTGGAACCATCAACAGATCTACATGCGTGCATACCCGCAGAAACAACGCTACAGGACAAACAGGGACAAACCAGATGTATGTTCATGTAACAATGATTTTATCATAACATAGTGTGAAAATAGATTGTTCTAACACCAAAGTTGTAGTATACATACATTATATATATATGTATATAGTATAATCTGTATATATCCATGCAGTACTCCCAATTCAGGTTCCAGTGATTAGTCAATACCTAAGGGGCTATGAACAGACACCGCTTGGGCGTAATATATTTGTATGGTCGACCCCAGGATGTTCCTTCCTATCCAATTTGGTGTGTGCAAAATTGATTTGCGATCCCAAGTCATTTGGGGAAATAGATCTGGAATCATGTTTTACTGGTAAAACTGCTAGGAGTCACAAAAGTAGAGTGCAACATAAAAATGCTATAGAAATCCATGTCCACTTCAAACACTATTTAGATCTATATTCAGACTCTTTGGTTCGCTGCTTGGGATTGGTTCGCTGGCCCTTGATGTCCCATCAACGCGTGCGAGTCGAGGCGTTCCTCAGCCGGTTACACCGGCGGCGTTTTCAGAGAGTGCTGAGCCAGCTGGGAACCCTGGTCCCAGATGGGAGGACTCCATACCCCAAACAATCCATGGGACGAATATTTGGGGTGCTGTTTTTTTTTTCGATTTCCCCAAAAAATGGGCACAAGAACAAAAACAGGTATGACTTTACCAGGACCTTCAGTTCGTTTTCGCCTCTTTGGAGTTCACCTCAGCGACGGAGATCCTGGGAAAACCCGGTCACGGCCTGAAGCTGTCCAGGTCTTGCCGCAATGCCCAGGACTTAGGGTGGAAAATGACCCCGAAAGGAAGTGGAAAATGACCATGGACCCCTCAAAGGAAAAGCATGTTGCGAATTCCAAACAGGTACACGGTATGTACTCCACTTCCATAATTATTTGAGGGAGTGTAAACCCTTAAGAACGGTACGCAGAATCCTCTCCATTTCAGTCACCAGAGACAAGCAACGACCTTTGGCCTATTGTTTGCAAAGGTCCAGTGGTGGGTCTTTTTGGATTCGATCCTAGAGGCCCAGTGAAAAGGTCAGAGAAGAACCTGGTTGCCCACCCTGCCATCCTTCAAGATTCAATGAAGTTCCATGACATATGTTGATCCATGAAACTTGGCCTTTGCTTGTTGGGGTCTGTGTCAGACTGAGCCCCCAGAGGGTTATCGTCCCTGGGCGGGTTTTGAGTTCAGCTTCTTGAAATACCACACTTTCATCATATCGCTGGTGACCTATTCTCAACTGTTATTGGGATGCATCAAAACGGTCAGTCCATCCGTGAAGCCACCGCCTTGTTTATTTTTTTCGGGCGGCTGCAGGGGAATGCTGGTGCTTTGGATTTACTGGGAAACTCATTCGATGAGTCCATGGTAATAAATTAATAAAGCCAAAGTCTAGTCGACTGTGACGTCCACCACCAGTCGACTGGCCACACGTCGACATCGTCCCGACCGATGGTCCGTGAGACCCTGAGACCCGTCTTCCACGGAGTCTTGGCGGCCGCTTCTCAGGCATCCGCTGTCGAGGTCCTCCGTGGGCCTGGAGGCGCGGGACCTTCGGTCCCGACAAGGAGAGAAAAGAGTGGAACCGCGGTCTTTGGGGGGGGTTGGTCGTTCAACATAGCTTTTTGGAGTCGACTAGAGTCTCAGTTCGTTCCTTGGAAAATGGAGACCTGTATCGATGAGATGTTTTGATAGGGCCATGTCCCATTTTCTAAGTTTTTTGAGACCCCAGGCTGCCAGGTACCCTTGTATAGGTCTGTGAACCACTGAACCAACATCCGCAAATCACAAACAAGTCCCTGCTTTGAGTCACTCTATAGTTCACAGACCCTCCGGTTCCCCGGTTTGCCTGTTTTGTGGGACCCGACCTAAGCGGTGGTGGTGAACCTGGCTGGGTAGCCGGGTACCGAACGGTTGCCACAAGTCCCACTGAAACCTGACATGTGACCAATGTGACCACCACTGGGTTGTAGAAGAACAAATTGGCTTCCAACGAGATGCATGCCATCGGGTTTCATATTAGGTTCCATGTTAAATAATCTTCCCGAGTGTAACTTGGGCAGAGATTTAAAGGGCTGACGCCCACCAGCCGGCCAGCAGGCCCACCATCAGAGGTTGTGCATTGTTGTTGTTGTGGTTGTTGTTGTTGTTGGTGGTGATGGTGGTGGTGGTTGGTTGTGGGTTGTGGGTTGTGGGTTGTGGTCGTTGCTGTGGTTGTTGTTGGTTGTTGGTTGTTGTTGTTGTTGTGGTGGTGGTGGTTGTGGTTGTTGGTTGTGGTTGTGGTTGTGGTGGTTGTGGTTGTGGTTGTGGTTGTGGTTGTTGTTGTGGTTGTTGTTGTGGTTGTTGGTTGTTGTTTGTTGGTTCTTGTTTGTTGGTTGTTGTGTTTGTTGCTGTTGCTGTTGCTGTTGCTGTTGCTGTTGCTGCTGCTGCTGCTGCTGCTGCTGCTGCTGCTGCTGCTGCTGGTGCTGCTGGTGTTGCTGTTGTTGTTGTTGGTAGAGACAAAAACAGCAGCCCAACATAGTTGTCACAAGTTGCAAGTCAGGGATTTCAATGGGATTCTGTTAGGGATAGGGTCGAAGGTTTGGAGAGATGTTAGTAGCTGGACTTCTTGTCGTTGTGGTACTCAAGTCTTGGTTGGTCTGCTTCTTGTTTTTCGTTGTGTTGTTTTGGGGGGGTGGTCAAAAAACAACAACGGGGTCGCAGATTTTGTTTCTAGGGGGGGAATAGAGACAACAACATCTTTTGGAAGGGGGGGGTCCAAAAAACAACCACGGGGTCGCAGTTTTTGTTTCTAGGATGTGGTAGAGGTTCTAAGTAGAAGTTTTGCAGGGTTTACTTAACCAGTTACAATAAGCATCACCAGTAGCATGACCCTCAGACGAGTTTCATAGACCCTGAGAAGGCGTTTAAATCGACCATATTGTTCCATTGGAATCCAACAACTTCCAGGAGTCTCCAAGAAAAGACTGATTTTCAGTGCATAGATTGAGAACCGGGTTTCCATCCCCTCCGCCTCCACACACGCCCCGCGCACTGTCCACATCGACTACACTGCCATTGGGGTGTAGTAGTAGTAGTAGTAGTAGTAAAGTGCTTGTTGTCTGGTTGTTTTTTTGGGGGGGTCAAAAAACAACGACGGGGTCCCAGAATTTGTTTCTACCCCCTTGTAGAGAAAAAGAAAGAAGATGTGGTGTAACGGGGTTGCAGTTTTTGTTTGTACCTTGTTGTTGTTGTTGTTGTTGTTCCTTTGCGTGTTTGTTTTGTTGTTGTTGTTGTGGTTGTGGTTGTGGTTGCCGTCATTATTGTTGTTGTTGCTCTTTGTCTGGCAGAGGAAAGCAGAAGAGCAACCAAAAGCACGAACTGCCGATAAAGCAAGGCAACTCGGCCTACTGCAGGCGCGGGCCGGCCCACGCCGCCTTCCTCTGGAGAACTTCTGGACGGCCTTTTGGCGTCAGGGACAGCGCAGCCGCTATAATGAAGGCCTCGCGGCGGCTGACATCGGGCCCGGCCACAGCGCAGTCCCGGCTGTGCCGTGAGCTCAGTCGCGGGGCTCGGGGAAAATGTGCGCGCTGGGTGCGCACCGACGCCAGCGCGGAGCCAAGGGGAAGTATCCCCGCAGAAGCCGGCCAAGCTGGTCAACGGAGGCAGCTTTGCGGAAGCGGCGTGCGCCTTGCCCACCTGCCGCACGGAGAAGCAGGTGGGCGAGGTCCTGCAGCGGTTTAAAGGTGCTGGCGCCGTTTCTCCGGTACCTGTGCTATACCGGGACGCGCAGGTGTTTACATGGGAAGTCCTGCATGGCACAGTAATAAATTTCCCAAGCTGTGATTTCAGTGAGCGAGGACAGTATGCTTGCAAGCATGGGCTGCGAGAGAAGGAAGGAAGGAAGGAAAGGAAAGGAAAGGAAAGGAAAGGAAAGGAAAGGAAGGATGGAAGGACGGAAGGACGGAAGGACGGAGAAGGACGGAGAAGGACGGAGAAGGAAGGAGAAGGAAGGAGAAGGACTTCTGTGGCTTGTGGCTTTTGCGGCTTCTGGCTTCAAAATCTTTTGGTTTCGGAGACTTGTCTGTAAACAAACAGAAACAAAGCCAGAAAAAGGGAAGCCACGATGGTGACTGGTTGTGGCAGGTGGCTGTCCCTTTTGGCGGTGTAGCGCTTCAAGGATGGTTTGAAGGCTTTGCCTACCTTAAAGTCGAGATGCATTGCTGTGGACGGAAAGAGTCACAGGCAATGACTCGAGTTGTTGCTGCTTATTTGGTGACATGATGGACATCATACCTGAAGGGACCCTTGCTTCGGACATGCGGTACTCTCAGAAAACAGCAGTGTCCCAATGTCACATCCACGGCGGGCTGTGCAACATCCACAAGACTGCTGAATTTTGTGTGTCCGGGCTTCCACTGGAAAGCGACAGAAGAGAGCTGGACCAACAAACTCAGTTTACATGGCTCATGGGCATTATCACAAGATCAATCGGACACCACTTCTACTTGTAGAATGCACTAAGGACTGGTGTGACGGTGTGACCAAGCTAATTGAATCAATTGATACGTTGACTCCTGTCTGACTCAGACTGGCTCTGACTCTGTCTGACTGTTGCAGGACCTGGATATGGGAATGTTTGAGGACACGCATCCTCAATACAATTGGTATCAGATGTTTTCGGAGCCAGCAGACTTTGGCTATGGGGGAACTGCGCGCTACCGCACCTGGGTCATTGGTGCACAGCAAGATTCCACGACATGTTTGTCAGACCCTTTCAGCCTTTATGACGAGGTTGTCGCTGGGTTCAAAGACATTGGTGTGGTCACAGAGGTGGCTGATTAATTATTACTTGGTTGCAAGCGAGGCAGAAATCATTGCAGAGGCCCTGCATGTGGCCCAAGCCCGAAAGCTGACATACCCTACACCAACAGAGACTCCGATGGAGTACCTGCTGACACTCCGTGAACGCCAAACTCTGGCAGGTTTGAAAGTACAGTGCCAGGTTCGGAAAAGATCCCTCCACAGACAAGAACTTGGTATACTTCCTGGGTGATTCAGCGGAAGCTGGGTTCGTGACCTGGAGCGCCGTATCCGACAAAATTCCAACATTCAGATTGAACTCAGGTTCCGGCAAGTACTGGGTGCCGTCCCTGAATAGGTGGTTGACATCGAAGGAGAGACTGTGCGCTCTTGGCTGGCCAGCTACATTGGAAACATCGGATGCGATGAAAGTTCCACCGATTGCCTGCACCGACGTCCAACGGGCATCGGATTTGTGCGGAAACTCTATGCACTGGCAAACATGTGGAATAATGCAAGTGATTGCATTGCTCAGTTTTGGACCGCTGAGGTAATTTGACAATTCCAGGCCGGAATTGACTCAGTCATTCTAACTACTTAGCCTTAGACAAAATTTGAACCCACTCCTCTCGGTCCAAGCACTTGCCTTAGATTGGTGAGAGGTTTCACACTTATGCACAGTCTCATCAGTTTAAATCAATGTGACCTAGAAACGTGGGCAGGCAGGCGCCTGGATTCCTGGATAAACAATTTTTTTGCGTCATGTGGTCTGGTGAAGGGAGTGGGTCACGTCTGAATTTGAGTTGCTGCCTTTGAGCAGAGCTTGTAGGAGGCTTGCAATTGTTGCTGTGTTCTGCATGGACGCACTGTTGCTTGCAGCCTGTTTGCCTGAATCCGCCCACTGTCTGCGTGAACTCGTTGTTGTGTTGATTGGCCATGTCTTCTGAGTTGGCACCGGTTTGGGATGGTGGATCGAGCAGGGCTTTCGATTCAGTGGTCCCGCACGAAGATCCGGGTGATGCCCCCAGTGAAGGCAGGGCAAGAAGCCGGGCATCAGTGCCCAAAGGCGCTGCCAAAGCAGGGGCGAAGGCGAATGCACGAGCTCCTAGGGCCAAGAGAGGTGACGTCAAGGTGCTTTCATCATCTTTCACGTGCTGGCAGAAATGTCCTGAAACTGGCATGTGCAATGGTAATTTTCCACGTTAGGTTCACTTTTGCAACCAGGCTATCCAGAGCAGACTGACTTACTTCATCACTGGCTATTAGTCTCATTGTCTGAGGACACCTATCTCAAGCAGATCATGGAGCACGTCGAGCCAGTCAAGTGTGTCATTTCATACACCAACAAGCTGCCATCACGTACAGTGCGGTTGGCGTTCTGCGGGATGTTTTGGCTTTCATCGTTTTCTCCACTGGACACGTTCTTTGGACTTAGAAAACTATTTCAGCATTGTTTGACATTATCGAATCACGTCATTTACCTAGTTTTTGTGATGTTGATTATTAATGTTGTCGTTGTTCATTGCAAGTATTTGTTTAAATCACGTTACCCTCTACTGACTCAAGGTTCGTTCTTGATGAGTTGAAAGCGAGCTTGAAGAATGAGTATGTACGCATCGGCACTCCGATGAAGGATTGTACATTGATTCAACTTGTACAACGTGTCGAAGTAGATCTGAGCCGCAACCAGCCAAAACAGGAATGGCCGGCCAGAAAGCAAGTGGACACAATCAACAAGATGGTCTTGCTGCACAGGCTTAGAAAAGCAAGACTCCATAGCAAGCAGATTTCAATCTCCTATGAAGATGTGGACCTTGGCAACACAAGGCTTGTTCAGTATGAAGAATACCTGGATTGTGTCCTACATTCAAGGCCTTGGAGGTGTTTGTTGGCCACAAGCAGCTTTGCATTTGCTGGGAACAAATCCTTCTATCATTATCTATGGTGGGAAAGAGATCCTGGTCTCATTTGTGTACTCCCATGAGCTTGACAAAGCAGGATGGCTTCTGAACCAGCAAAACCACCAGTTCATGCTGAGTGAGTTGCCTGAAGCATTGCTACCTCATGCCAGGCAGAACAAAACTCACCAGAGCGGCTGGGTAACTGAACTCAGGGGCATGTCAGCTGCCCTCAGAGCAGTCAACACCAACCTCATGGACTTCAAGGTGAGGGTTTGGTTCCTCTTCTTGTCTTTGTGTCTGATCAGGAGGGCTGGTGCGTCATTGTCGACCCAGGGGTGGGCAGCACCTATTACTGGCGTCCCTCCGTGGGGGTGGCGACATGGAGGCCGCCTGCTTGGCCACAAAATGCCTGCCAGACTGACAAGACCCAAACTGCCATCCAGAGGGCCTGAAACTTGGCACACTGCCTTTGCTGGTCAGCATCAGTGACCAAAACCGTAACAACGCTACAGCACTCAAAACATCCAATACAGCAGTGATGCCCTCCAATGCCAGTCTTATGGTCCATATGGGGCCAAAAACAAGTGTGCAATCCATGTCTGGCGGGCAGGCCAGGACCCCCTGACCGGGCAGTACAAACAACATGCAAACGAGTGGTGGTTGTCCACCTCCATTACTAGTTGTGTAAGACCCCGAGAAAGATATTGACCGATTCTACCTAGGTAGCAGGTGGTTGCTCACGTGGAGGAGAGTTCAATGTTTTTGGACATTTATTTTTCAGCCGTCGGCATCCGGTCGTAACTTCTCAGAAAGTGATTGGAGACACTACTTCTTGTAGGCGCCATTGTCGGGTCAAGTCCTACCGAACTTGAGGAGGTACGACTGGGTCCCCAGGGCGGAAGGAGCACATAGAGCTGATATATGCTCCACTTGTTTTAATTGTTTGGCTGAGTACATATAGACCTGTGGCAGGAACCACTTGTAGCAGGGTATGGACCCAAGAGATGTTTTCTTTTATAAGGAGTGAAGCCAATGCAAGACAACCCTGATAGACCCAAAATCACTTGAACATATTTTTCTCCACAAATCAGTCACTCGAACCAAAAACTGCTCTTCGCGAAGAAGGAACGGCCAGGTCTGGTTTTTGTCCAGGTCGTGTCCCATGTTCATCCATTTTCAAGGGTAAGTCTTGAAGTCGGTTCAGGCCCAAGATGGTCCATGCAACTGTTTGCAAACTCATGCAACCCCGAATTCGGAAGGTCGAGGTGCCCCAAAGTGAACTCCAGCTTCAATCTGTTCATGACTGAACAGTTTGGAGTCCCATCCGCCATGTCCAACAGTGTTCATGACCTCAGTTCCAAATGTTGATCGCAAGATAGAACCAAACGAACCCTCGTCATTTGAAGAACCATTTGCATGTACCGCACCGTCACCGTCCTGGTCACCGTCCGGTCACCCCAGGCCTTGATGCAGACGCCGGAGCTGGCGGTGAACATCGCTGCCTTCGCTGGGCCACGGAGCTCAGCGACCAGCGGCAGAGCAAGCGGATGCGGACGCGAGAGAGCTGACGGGAACGCGACACCACAGGTGACGGTGTTTGTGTGTGTGTGTGTGTCACTGCCTGTTTCCAAGGGAACACAACACAGTCTTTGCTACTCGTCCTATCTTTTCCACCTGTACAGGTTTTTCCATCATTGCAAGGGCCTTGGGCCATGAATCATTCCGACATGATGACAGAAGATGACCTGACTGGAGAGGAGTTGCTTGCAGCGTTGGTAGCTGTTCCGATTGGACAACTCAGGGACTTGGCCCAAACCTCGGAGTACAGTTGCAGTGAAGTGACTTTGCCTTGGCCTGTGTATGAATTTGAATCCGGGGAAGGAACATTCAGATCCTCATCCCACCTTCCCTAATTTTTGAGGAAGGGCCTCTCAGTTGAAGACAGTCAAGGAGTCGCAGGTGCCGGCTACGAACATGGTATTGACAAACCTGGCAACACATCAGTGGTCAGCAGAGCGCCGGAGCCACTCCACCCACCACCAGGGAGTGGCCAACGAAGAGCCTGGTGGTGTGATGCTGAAAACGTACCTGCAATTGAACTAATTAAAGAGCTACCGTGGTAAACCGCTAGTGAGATCTTTGCTGTGCTCTAAGTAAGGATCAAACTGTTCCAACCCGGTGTTTTGCACAAAAGGGCTAACGTGGAGCCAGTGTTAATACATCGGTGAGCCAGTTTCTGAAAAAATGCTCATTCAGAAGAGCAGTGCATCATAGTGTATCTAAGTTGTTTTAAGATTTACCCATGCTTTTTATTTTCCAACCGTAAGAATCTGTACGGGCCCATTCATGGCAGGGATCGCACCCGGCACAACAACAACAACAACAGGGGTCAGGACCCGAACCAAACCCTTCACATGTATTTGAGGGCCCGGATTCTTTGGGAAAGCAACAGGCATCCCATTGGCTTGCAAAACAATACAATCCCTAGGGCTCCAAGTGCCTTCTAAGAAGGTGGGACTGGGGTGGGTTTCGAGGGTCCAAACACATTCTGAGGAGGTACTTGGAGCCCTAGCGAAAAAAAAAATATATATATATACCTATCTAAATAATATCTATATCTGCCTGCACCCGTTCGTCCCTCGGAACGGTATTTTGCGATCCCGGAGTCCAAGACTCCGCGATGTTGTTTTAAAGAAAATTGAAAGGCATGTCTTTTACTTGCCAAATATGGTAGTTGTTTGGATTTCTAGGGTATAGATAATAGACAAGGAGAACAAAGTAAGAACATGAGATATGAAACGACCTCCAAAAGCCCAACTCCAACAACCTCATCAGTCTTGGATCTCGGGTTGATCCGAGGCCTGGCATTGTGCAAGCAACACTGCAAGCGGGTCATGCCTTGTGCCATGGAGTGGCTCTTTGTCACTCTGAGCCACTTGGTTCCGACCTCCCGGTGCCTCAACACCTACTGTAGGGATACCTAGGGATTGGTGAGAAACCCTAGTATATAGACTCTAGACCCAACCATAGCTAGATCTTCCAACTGTGCAGGACTTATACCTTTTGGCTGCTTTTTATAGATGAAACGACCCCTGCTTAGGAGTGCAGACTTCGTTTGGGGGGAGGGCGGTGGGTATGGCGACAGCCGAAAGACTTATGACTCCTAGGGTTCCAAGTACCTCCTCAGAAGGTATTTGGACCCTCCAAACCCACCCTAAACACCTTCTCAAAAGGTGTTTGGAGGCCTAGGGGACGAAGAGAGATGCTTGATTGTCGGGGAGTGTGTCGGGGATTGGTGATTGTCGGTTTCCCAGAAGCCAACGAGTCATGGTATCGCTGATAGCGGTTCTAGTCCAATATTTGAGTGGAACCCTCCAATAGGTGTTTCCTGGTGACAAGTCCGGTGCCCAGAAATCACCGTCGGCGTCTCCAAACAGCCGAACCTTAGAGCGTCCCCTGCTATGAGGATCATGCAACAGGGAGTTCTTGGATGCAGGTGATTTACCCGACTGAAGACCACCTACACCACAGTGGAGACAACACATCACCGTACCTGAGAAGGTACACCTGGATTTTGAGGGCAGTATGTGGTTTCCCTGTGTTTGCATGGAGGCTCATTGGCTCCTCATCGGTTCCAAAGGTCCTACCGGTCCTTTGAGGTCTTAGAGGCACCCTATACCCAAACGATCCAAGTAAGTGCACCAGTAAATATATGATACTATATATATATATACATTCACACCTCCAAAAAACAAATCTATGCAAATATCTTCTGACATTGGATCGTTTGGGATACGGAATGCGACAGATCCACCGGACCCTCAGGTTCGGTAGCATTCTCCCTCGGTGTCACCTTCTCTCCGTGCAATCAGCTGCCACTCCTGTAAACAAGGTGTACTGTAGAAGCCATAATACTCCTGGGGCTCCTGTCCCTCCTCAGAAGGTAGGGCTCCAAATTCCAACCCCCCCCAAGAAAACCACCCGGACCTCAGTCCTACCATGTCCTACCGAACCTTTTTGGATGTGGGACGGGAGCTTCTTGCGGGTACCGCCTCGAAAGTCGGGAGGCAAGCCAACTTCTCAGGTTCGGTACCACCGGACCCAACCATGGCACCTACATAAAGATGTGTTTTTTTTGGTGAAAGCTCTCAAAAACAGACTCGCGCGACTCGTAGGGAATGAGGGAAGGAACCACCCCTGTAGGCCCCTCTGGATCCATTCCCATATTCCCGACTAAGGAGGGCATAGGGTCAGGAGCATCCGCGCACTCAGGTTGGATCGCCTCTTCCCCTGCTCCATCTACCTCATAGGCGGGGACGCTGCACGCTTGTGAAAGCGGCTCGTTGGTGTAAAACAATGGATTGATGATTGATTGATGTGTTCCAAAAATGTGTGCCTAGACTCTCCAAGTCGCTCAGAAAATGGGTGCAGTCGCACATGTTGGGTCATGGTTTAATCGGGTCGACTGTCGCATGTCCATACGTTGGAGGGTCCAAGTGTTTGTTCATGGGTTAAACCAGTGGAGACCACAGGAAACCTCCATTGGTTTGGTCCCTTGAGCATAGACATTATTTAACAAAATAGAAGCTACTGTCCGAACGAAACAATGATATGGACGCAGAACAACCTTAAGCCTAAGGGTGCTGCATGTTGTGGGAGCACACTGCCTTATTCTCACTTCTTAGTTCAAGAAAGAGCTATGACTTTTAAACAAGTCGTGAACAATTTGATATACCATATCCACTAGTCACTAGTAAGTAAACCTGGATGTGGATAAACAGAAAGAGTTGGTCTTCAACTTTATATCAGATCATGGTGTAGGGATCCACGTACCTTCTCAGAAGGTGGCATTTGGCGCCTACATCAACCTCACAAAGGTGCCGAGTCCCAAACACTGCATGTATTCGACATTTACCTACATGGACCCCTTTTTCAACCACCGGCCTTTTCTCTTATCCGTCCGATGGCAGTCCCATGGAGTCTTTGGGAGTGGATCCATATAAGAGATCTATGTGCCACTGGGCCACTGGGCCACCTGCCACCGGACCAGAGGGAGCCCTTCGCAACGCTTCGCAGACGCGCGATCGCCGCGCGGCGGGCGGCCAGACGCGCGACACCTCCGTGAGAAGAGAGTCGCAACCCACTGGAGGTTGAAGAACCTTATACCCTAGGATTTGTGGCCAACCATACCATTGTTTTATATGGTTTAATTGTTTGAATTCTAAAGAACCATGGTAAGAGCCATTTTGTTGTGGTCTTGGAAGTTTAGGGCTAGACTGATATAGACTATAGGTGTCCCCAGGTGACGGGGCCATGTTTAGGTCACCAACTATCTCTCTTGGCCAATCGGTCTTCGGCCCAGGAGGGACGGGGGTGGCCTGTGCACGGAGCGGGTGGCCTGGCCCGGTGCACGGAGTTCCCAAAAAGCTAACCCGTTTGGCCTGGCCATTTGTAGGGTCAATGTCAATCCAATGGTGTGCATGAGATGTTATTTTCTGCCAAAGTGCTGCAATGTGATGCCATGTGCAGGTTGGAAGACCTCTATCGAACAGGGCGATTGGTAGAAGAATTTGGAAGATTCAGTCCTATAGGAATCCAGTGTTGCCTTCTCAGGTTGGTTGGGTCCAGTCGTACCGAACCTGAGAAGGTAACTATATATATATATGCTGGATTTCTAGGCTAGGACTTCACCTACCATGACTCCCTCCGTTCGTTTGATTTTACATCGCCTCGTATAAGGGTTCGAGTGTTTCTTGGGGTGTCCTAAGAACCAACAACCGCTCGAGCTCGAGCTCTTCAAAAGCGGATCCAACACGGTTGTACACTTCCTGATACCTCGGAACACATGCCACACTCGTATATAGGGAAAAAAACGTCGTTTATACCGGAGTCACATGGAGTTGGATGGTGTGGTGGTGTTGAGGCTCGTCTCGTCTAGTCACGTCCCCTCCACGGAGCGTCTAGCTGTCCCATCTCAGACTAGCTCCATAGATAGCAACCCTTGGTAGCTCCCGGTAACTGTCATGGTAGCAATCTACCAGGGAGTCATTAAGTTCCTGTATTGGTCTACCAGGAGTCATTAAGTCTACCAGGAGTCCAAGGGTTGCTGGTAACTGTCATGATTACTTTGGTACCTGTTTTTGCTACGCAGGTTCCAGGTTCCTACCAGAGAAGGTACGAGGTACACCATGGCACCCGAGGACCCCCAGGGGAAACGGAGCTTCAGGTTTTGGACCTGCCAGATATGGCACTACACCGGAAAAACAGATGGAACGACGGATGGCTTGGGAGCCCTGCCTATCCCAAACGCTCCATGTATGCCATATATGCCTACATTGACCCCGAAAACCACCCCAATGTAGGCATATATGGCATACATGGAGTGTATGGGTATGGATCCACTGGCTGAATTCTGAGGTACATCTGATGTGTTCGACACTGTCGGCGCCACTGTCTGTCGGGCCCAGTCGGGCCGAAGCTGAGAAGAGATGTGGATCACCCAGCCGCTCCATGGGACTGTCATATATGCATACATTGGCGGTTTGGGAGGTCAATGAGTCAATTGGGCGGCATGTATTCCAGTCCCATGGAGTGTCCTGGTAGGTACTCAACCGGTTCCCACCTCGTCCGTCAAAGCCCATGGCTTCGGCCAGGTGGGGCTGGTGCTTCGAACGGAAAGCCCTTGCGGAGTGTGGAACGCTTCCGTGGGAAGACACAGATGGTCGAAGACGGGGGTGTGGTTCGAAGTTCATGGAGTGACCCCGTGTGCTCCAAGGGTTTTGGTTTTATTTTCCCCTTTTGGAGGTCTCCTTGTTGTTCAACCCTGAGAATCCAGACCCACGGGGTTTGGGGTTGGTTCGGGTATGGGAAAAGGTCCGTGGAAGGTCGGTCCCTATAAGGGTCTCCAGATGACCTGGAATGCTAAAGGGGTGCAGATATATGAAGATGAGGGGATCCTGGTGATACCACGTGTAGGCTATACCTTTTGGTAAAAACAAATTTAAAACCTTTGGAAGTCTGGAAGTGTGAGTTTCAACTTTCATGATTAGTTCAGGGAGTGTATGTTGGTACTGCGAGACCTCATGGGCTTGGTACCGCGATGTACCGCGTGTCTAGCCAAGTATAACTTCAACCCTGGGCTACCTGTTCTTTGTGTTGAAATGGATGGAATGTAGATGAAAGTGCACGCAGAGAGCAAGAAAGCACGCCAGAAATCTCCGTTTCCCCCCAATCCCAAAGCTTCCGCCGTGAAGGCACTCGCGAAGGCAAGCAGTATATAGTTCTTCCATGTATTTCCATTTGGTAGCCCTTCGTCATCTTACATCTGCTCTCTACTCTTTTTGGGGTTTATGTGGGCAGCCATTCGTCTCACAATGTCTGCTTGCAAGAAGACTTGGTATTCACCAGACATTGTGACGAATGCCCTTGACACTGCCATTCTTCAGAATCGCCTTCGGTCGGTCGCCATGTGCTACAGGTAGCTAGTAGCCATTCTGCACTGCCTTCGAGATCGGCCACCGGTTTCCGCCCGAACGCGGAGACCGGTCCTCAGGTCCAGATCTGGGAGAATCCTCCCGCTGCGCTGCCATGCGTGTACCCCGTGCCGTGGGACTGTCCCAGCTTCTTTTCGCGTCGAAAGGTGGGCGCCGGCCGAGTCGGGGTGGGGTGGAGGTCGTTTTTGGGGCGGGGTGGTTTCATGTTCGCGAAGTGGTCAAATCCACTGGGAGTGACATGAATTTAGTATATGATTATATGATTCGCGTGCTGGACAGCAAATCCAAAGTTTTGGGTGACCCCAAATCACACCGTCGAACTGCATATGCCTGCCTATGAAGGCACGTCGCGTTGGCGGAGGACGTGCGAAGTTTGATCCTGATGCAAGAGAGTCACGTTCCGGACGCAGCGGTTCCACACGCTGAGGTGTGAGGGATTCAATGACATGGTCACACTTGCTCCGACCTGTTGGGCTCAATGATGTGAATGAACATGTCCATTTGTGCCTTCTCAGAGTGCTTGCAGGAAGAGTGGCAGGTAGAAGGTTCAAAAACGCACTGTGATTTCACCTTCAAAGTTATTCCTTTTTCGCCACATGGATTCCCTTGGGTGCAAGAATCTGGGAGGGGATGTAGCGAAGATGGAGGGACTGCGCATGAGGGGTTGAGCACTGCACCTAGCTGTTTTCTCCATGGTGCTCTCAATTTCAGAGCTGCAAAGTGGATGAAGTTGATGAAGTTCTGCCCAAACCTTCCAGGCCAGTTTGTTCACAGCACATGTTTGGTCAGCACATGTTTTTAAGCTGTTCTTTTTCAAAACACAAGCACACAATTATTGGCACGTTGCCCCAAGTCCCGTAAGAAGCTGTGGAGCTATGTGGATTTAAACACTGAGTCATGGAACAAAAAACAGATGCAAAACACAGACAATACGGAAACATCGAATGCAGACTCCTGCTATACTCGACTTGACCTTCTTCCCAAGGGAAAGTCAATTTCCTGCATCTCGTTTGGGTATTGGGGACAGCACACTAAACAAGAACAAGTGGACTTGAAGTGAACCTTGGACAAGACCATTAAAAAAAAAAACATCTACTATACTGGGCGGTGCTTTCAGATATTTATATACCTAGAGCTTCCATCGTATAACTTTATTTTGGTAGACTATGTTGTTTATACATTTTGTTGGAAACCGTCCAAGAAAAGTAGTTCTTGACCATAGCGACCACTTTTGCACAAATCGACTACTTTTGGGCCAACTGGCTTCCGATGAGTCATTGAGTACTTGGAGGGTATCAACCATAGATGAGATCATTGAAGAACACCAAGAACCAAAGGGAACCTTCATGAGGCATCACTTCATCCATCATCATCATCATCATCATCATTGCCGTCGATCGCCGTCGACTCGTAGAAGGCCAATCCTTGGCCGCAGTTGGCTGAGCCGTGGAGCAATGAGTGTGGGGAGCAATGGCCTCCAACCAAGTAGCAATGGCCTCCAACTAATAGCGATGGCCTCCTCCAACCTAATAACAATGGCCTCCAATCTAATAGCAGTGGCCTCCAACCAAGTAGCAATGGCCTCCAACTAATAGCGATGGCCTCCTCCAACCTAATAGCAATGTTCCAACCTAATGGCGATGGCCTCCAACCTAAGAGCAATCGCCTCCAACCTAATAGCAATGGCCTCCAACCTAATAGTTGGCTCCAATCACATGCCGGCTGACCGCTTCCACTTGGGAGAGAAGTGGTGAAGGCCGGGTCTTTGACAGTTGGGTGGGATACTTTATGCTTGAGGCACTTGGCATGGTTGTGCAAGCAAACCTGTGATGCCCTTCTGCAGCTGGGCTCTTTTGGCAATGATAATCTGCATGATGAGTGCAGGCAATGTTTAAGGACTATACTGTAGACTATACTTTCAAAAAGTAATGGAAGGCTTTCACGGTGTCACAGTGGCAGTGACCTTTTTTGCACCCTGCAACCTCACCCTTGGGACACCAGCCATGAATCCTGAGACCGACCAACCTGCTGCTTCTGCTACTGATCTAGCACATGCCTGGGAAGGTGTGGGAGAGCTTCGTAGAAGAGCACATCAGCTCAAACTCGTGGCTAAGCTTTTTAAAAGTTGCAGTGGCTCATGTCAAGAACAACAATGTAATGATTTGTGAGAAGTCTTTTGGATTGCATTTGCTGATCTTAGGTCGTCTTTGCTCAGGAAAACTGCATCAATCGCGATACTTGTGTGCAAAACGAGCACGTGCTGACTCTTGCACTGACCCATCTAGGAACAAGGGTCACTGTTCCGACCCTGGAAGTGCACATTGAAAGTTTCTACAACTTGATGAACGTTCCCATTCCTCGTAGCTGCACGCTCATGGCACATTCTTTTGAATTTGATATCTTTGGGGCACTGGTTGGTTCCAACTTAAAGGATGAGTGCTGCTTCATGAACCTCTGCTTCTTGGCCCTAAGGTAATATGGTGAACATTCAAGCATGGGCACTTCGCAGGATGATTTCGGTCCATAATTCGGTGACGAGACGACCCCATGTTCCCAGAGAGAAAGCTTTGAGGCGGATCCTGATCAGCCAAGGGTTTGACATTGACCTGGAATCTCCCCCGCGCTCAGGTCCAGCACCAGTTTCCGCTGCAGGTGCACTAGTGGAAGATGAAGGTGAGTCATGTGATGAGGACCAGTTTGAAGAACATAGTGAATCAGAATGCTTCACTGATGATGAAAGCGTGGCACCAGTCGAACCTCTCAATGACACTACATGCCACTTAGCTTATGTTTCTTCACACATCACGTGAAACCTTTCTGAAGGCCAATGCCCAAATTGAATCCGTTCTAAATTGTAAAACTGTACGTCCATGGAACCTATAGAAGATCAATCGCTACTTGCCCAGGTTCTGCAACAATCCCAGCCGATGCCACCAAGCATGGGCCTATCGATGTCTTAGCCTCAACTCTTCTGCAGCCACTGTCCCACTGGAATGGAACCCGCCACTCTTCTTGCCAGGAATCCATGGTCGAGTACATTGAAGGTTGGCAGAACCATCTTCGCGACGCTGTGGCGAAGTTCGGTCCTGCCGTGGTCATCAAGGACAAGCTTGGCACAACATATGAGTTTGCTAATGGAAGGTTGCTTCAAGCTCCACACCCTGAAAAATTTCCATTGACGGTTACCCGTCAGCGAGTGGAAGTGTTGTCTCCTACTTCAATTGAGACACCCAGCCCAACAGGCCAGGCATGGATGTCACATTTCTTGCAAACATATGGGTTTCAGTTGGTCAACTCAGACTCTTTGACCGTACCGTCCAATACTTTGGAGTGCGCCAGGTGCTGTGCCGGTTCAGTCCACACCGCCCAAAGTGTCTTTCGAGGTGCCCATCCATAGTCAACTTCATGCACGAATACTACGTAACATCATATGCTAGTAAGCTGTTCCAGCCTCGAGCACCGTGTGCCAGGCATCTGGTGCTGCTGCAGTGGCTGCCTTCCAGGAGATGCAACACTTGCAGCAGCAGTTGGACTTGTTGAAGCAATGTCAATCTCTTCGAACTGAACTTGCCAAGTTGACTGAAATGAAACAACTTCGAGATCAACGATTGGTCACGGTGTCCAACAAGCCATGCAATCTGGTGCGTCCACCTGTGGTCTGTTCCCTGATTTATATTGTTTTCATGCTTCGCTTTGGAGTATAGTCTGTGCACAGGCTTGTGTAACATACCATGTCATGATCTTTCTCAAACAAAATGCGCTAAAGGTTTGGACGATATGGAGACCCAACCCATGATGCTCGATTTCTTGGAAGGCTTTGGTTTCAAAACCAATATATTGTCATTTCAGTGCAGGGCACTCACAACATGAATGTCATGTGCTACAGCATTAAAACACATGCGTGTGTGTGTGTGTGTCTTTGCTCTTGGAGGCACTCCGGCACCTCTGGATCTAGAGGGCAAGGGCTTTGGTGCGGCTCTGTACTCCAAGACTGACGTCGATACTGAGACACAGCAATTGGCGCATGACTTCGGGAACATGCGTTTGGATTCGAAGAAGTTTGACGATAGTGAGAAAGAGGATAACAAACCTGAGGTTACCTCTAGGAAGGTCACCCACCTAGAAGATCTAGAAGCAGCAAGCATAGGTCAACAGGAAGAGAGCGCACAAATGATTTCAAAGGAGGCACCAACCAATGGTCGTGAGGTACTTTTGGAGGTGCAACAGCAAGCTGAGCACAGCGAAGAAATGGTTCCAGCAATTGGTGACCATGGTCCAGCAACCGATGCAGCCGAGGAAACTGTAAAGGCAGGCCCACCAGCACACCCACTACCCCAACCGGGTGTGGATTGGAAAGAGTTGGTTCAGAAAGCATTGGCAGAGGCAGCACCAATCGCAGCGGCAACAAACGAGCAAAGCATTCCAGCAACTGCTGGCCATGAGGCAGGTCTGGAGGAAACGATGGATGATGAGAGCGGTCAGCGCACCAGTCCAAAGAACAATGCAGCTGAGGAGACAGCGCCAGCAAAGGGGCCAATCCCAGAAAGAACATTGGCGCCCAGCGCTCGTACGCGCAACTCCTTGAAGCAAGCAAAGCAAGCCAAAGATGAAGCAGCAGCTGCAGCAGCCACCGAGGCAAGTCCAAAGGAAAGCGCCCCGGCCTTAGCGTGTTCAACCTCTTTGCCAGCAAAGCCAAATGATTGGGGTAAACATCAGCCAGTCACAGCTGACCAGCAGCAGCCTCCCAAGCCACGAGGACGAAAGAGGAAGGCGTCAAAGGTCAAGGAAGAGGAGCCACAGGAACCCAAAGGCCGTGCCAAATCCAGGGCAAAGAGCAAGCCAAAGAGCAAGCCAAGCAACACAGCAAAGCATGATGCAAGCGCAACCACCAAGACCAAAGCAAAACAGTCCAAGGCAAAGGACAAGAATCAAACCTATGTGCCTTTGGAAGTTGAAGGAGATGTCAACCTTGACAGGGGGGCAGCGTTTGATGCGTATGCCGCAGCGTGTACAGCAGCCAATGTTCACGCCTTGGAACAGTACCCAGAGCACCTGTCAGCAAGCAACCCGGAGGACCTATCAGCAAACAAGAACAAGAAGAGAAAGACCAAG